GACCCATGGGAGCAAAGGCGGAAACCAGGGGCGCCAAGTCATTGCCAAGGAGAACATCCGCTGGTAAGTCCTTCATGACCCCCACATTCACATGTCTAGCGCCCACTCCCCAATCCAAATGTACCCGGGCAACGGGCAGACGGAACACGGCACCTCCAGCTACTCGTACGGCGACCGTGTCCCCTGTATGTTGGGCTTCGGATACCAGGTGCTTCTGGAGCAATGTCATAGTTGCCCCGGTATCCCGTAGACCACTGACCTCCTTCCCGTTTACTTTCACACACTGCCGGTGATGCTGTCGGTTATCCCGGTGGGCAGCCTGAACGGGGTCTGCCTCATGCAGGATGCCCCAGCACTCTTCTTCCTCTACACAGTGAGCGGCCGGGAGGGTCGGGGATTGCCGCCTGCTGGTCTCCGCCAGGACTGGTTCTGGTTGGCGCTGTTCATCGGGCACTCGGGTCGCTTGTGCCCTAGTTGTTTGCACAGGTAGCACCGAATGGGTTGCGTGTACTCCCGTGCATTAAACCTAGGTGGCTGTTGGTACGGGGCAGATGGAGGAGGTGCTGATGGGCGAGTCATGGGAGGCTGGTATAGGTTGGCGGGGGCTGGTGCTGCTGGCCTGTATTCCACTCTGGCGGGAGCCTTGCTGATGAGACTGTCCAGTTTGCGGGCGTCGGTATACTCATCCGCCAGGCGAGCTGCTTCGTGCAGAGTGGAGGGTTTACGGTCCCTTACCCACTCTCTGACCCCTGTGGGCAATTTGTCAAAACAATGCTCTAAGAGGAACATCTGTAGCACCTCTTCCCCGGACACAGCCTGGAACCCCACCATCCAGTGAGCGGCTGTGCGGTGCACCTTGCATGCCCATTCCACATATGAGTCCCCAGAGGTTTTAACCGTGTCTCTGAACCTCCTCCGGTACGCCTCAGGTGTAACAGCATACCGGGAGAGTAAAGCTTCCCTGACGGCCCCATAATCCCCAATCTCCTCATCTGGAATGGCCCGAAAAGCCTCGCTGGCCCGGCCAGATAACTTGCCGGACAGTATAGTAACCCAGTCTTCCAGGGGTACCTTGTGCAGGGCACATTGCCGCTCAAAATCAGCAAGGTACCCATCAATTTCGCCTTCTGTCTCATTGAAGGCTTTAAATGCTGTAAAGGGTACCTTTTTCCTATCTCCCAGGTTTGCTGTGACTGGGGCTGCTGCAGCACCACTTTGGCGTAGCAGGTTGGCCTCCACAGCGGCTATGACCTGGGTGACAGTCTCAGTAGTTGGGTTGGGACCATAATGGGCCAGCCTGATCCTTACCGCCCGGTCGAAGCTTGCCTCCTCGGGGGTTCTGTCAGCTGTGCTGGGTCCATCGGTTCCCTTCTGCCGCTGGTACTCCATCCATTTCCAGCAATAATGTAATAATATCCCTCTTCCTGAGGTTACTGGCTTGTCCGCCTCTTTGCTCTAATAAATCCTTTAGGGTAGCTCTCCTCAGGTTTTGATACTGTAATTCCATTTAGTCCTGGTTGTAGTGGTTTCTTTGGGCGCTGAGGATCATCCCGTCGCTTGCCACCAGTTGTTACGGTACCTCCAGTAATGAAATATACAAACCGCCGTTTAGTAAGTATTCCCCGTTCGCAATAATGTAGGCTGGTAGCGGGTATAGGAAAACCATGCGAACCGCCAGCTGGGGAACACTCCAAACTCCCGAACGGTACCTGTACGGCTATTTCCCTCCACGAGCTCCAAATCCACGAACTGCCAATATTAGCCGAACGCTAATACCTTCCAAGCGGTAAATATTTCCAATCAGCAGTCTCTAAGCGTCAGTAACCAAATCCCCCCAATAACGAGACCAAGCTCCGCTTTGAGGGTAAAACACGAACTGGTTTACTGTGGGCTACCTGCCCGGTATTTATGCAGGTCTCCCACTTGGTGGACACTCCCCTAGGGGACCAAATGGGAGACTGAAATCACAGAGGGACATGGGGACATTCTGGACATACATCCCCACAATATTCCCAGCATGCAGTACAGTTCCCTCCCCTCTGCTCGGGGAATAATTGGGAAGTAATTCAATTATCTCCCCGAGCAGAGGCAATCGCCATTTTAGATACAAGTTACAAAAACACACAAAAATCCATAACTTAATAACTGCTGAACATTTTACATCAGTCTTGCATATCCCCAGATAGCCTGGATCTGAGGGCACATTATTGGAGAATAGCGCTCAGATCCCATTCGCACAGTTCAATCGCCATGGAGTCAAAGTCTCTTTCAGTTCTTCGGTATGCGATTGACTCCATGGGACGGCTATCTGGGTTAAGTCCATTCGTGTGGTTGAATCTCCCGAACGGCTGTCGTTCGCATGCTTTTGTCGATTGAGAAGGGGAGGTCGACGGCTTCAGCGGTGTTCGGCTGAAAAAGTGTCCGTTTTCCGATCCATGAAATAATCGTTGAACACCGCTGGTCGTTCGCATGGACAAAATGGCCGCCGCCTCGTGGTCGACATACGAACGACGACCACCCGGCATTCGGTTTTTAATTGAGAAGTGTCTGTGGTTAACCGCAACGTTCTAATTGGGATCAATAGGTTAACCAGCAGCACACTTCTCTTCTGGGTGGCCGTCCGTTCGGTAGTTCCGTTCGACAAAACCGACATTCCCTTAAACAAAGCATACGAACGGGGAAATTCATGAAAACGGCAAAACAGACGAACAACGCAGTTATAATCCAGACAGATGGGTCTGTCACATGGTTATAGTGCTTGGAGCGTTTCTTTAATGCACCATAACAAACAAAGTATGGAATGATAGTGTTCTGTGTTCATAGGTCCTGTGTCTAGCATACCTAAGATTGTGCATGTCCTGTCACATTCAACCTGGGTACCACCTGACAAACTGAGGGTTCAAGGTAGATTTTATGGCTGAAACACGATTATTTTTATCGGAATGTGAAACTTGTTCAGAGTTTGACACTATCAAAGAATTTATACAGACAGTATCATGAAGCATAGCTACATACTGACAGCATTTTATTGTATGCTATGCTATGACACTGACATTGAATTTTAGTTTGTAATTGTTATATGCTTTTTTGACATATTCTACTTTTACAGTGATATTGTAGCATTGGGCTCTTATTCTCTTGGTAAAGTGTGAATCCATAGCACTCAACATTTCCAAACAGGAGGTGCTGTGATCAAGCCGTATCAAGTCTCTGACTAGTAAAATGTAAGGGCTTTCAGTCCAAAATGGCAAGGTGATTGTGAACATAAGTACAGGAGGGGTTTCAGCTATTAGGATTGTGTCATTGTCAGCCATTAGGATTGTGTAATTAATTGTGAATGTGTCATTGTGGAAATTATAGTTGATTCAATAGACGGCATCTGTTATGCTATGGTAAGAATGCAATAGTGTCACTGACCTAGTGACATTATAACACATGATACTATGTGGTTATATGCTGTACTATTCCATTGTTACCAATAGTAAATATTGTATTCTCTCTAACATATTGTGTATTTTTTTTTAACATTCTTAGAGTGAGATTATATTCTCTTAGCGTAAGGTGACTCCTTAGCGCAAAGCTTTACCAGCACTAAACGAAGGCAATGAAGACCTGCAGTGTTGACATGTGACAATGTCATTGTGCAAAATTGTAAATTTATGAGAATGAGAAACGTTGAAGGCTTCTTAAGAAAAAAAATACTTGAAATTATCAGCACTGTTCCTAATTAACTGTCTATTTCCATACATTGTTGAAGCATCTGGTAATTTTTAGAAACTACTAGAGCATGCTGTACTGCAGATTTGTTGAATTAACAACACAAAATATATGAATACCCTCTGTTTACTCTGATTGAAAACAAACAGAAAAATTTAATCATGATGAGTTCTTCCTATTATATCTTGGATTTATTAGCACACCTCATTCCCTATGCCTATAAATTGTAATATGTTTAATTCAATTTTAAAACCATTGGAAAATATTAGGGGGAAAGTACCACATGGGCATTCAACTTTCCCCACAGGAAAGTATTAAATTAATGCTTTTTCTATGGTGGCTTCAGACTCCTGTGACAGCATTTTACCCAGCCAGTGCAGCCGAAGTACCACTTGTTGCTGTTATACTGCAGCCACTAGAGGTGGATTTAAGCCAGCAATGTAAACATTACAGGGTCAAAACGACAGGGCCACAAACAAATATTGTACAAAGAAACAGAATATTAAGGGATAGAAAGTGTGAAGATATGTATAAAATAACTGTGGATAATATCAGCTGGTTTATAAAAGATTGATTAAGTAAGAATCAATTTAATATTGAAATCTTTATGCAATATAAGTATATGTGTTGATACAAAACCCAGTTAAATCACAATCAACAAAGTTCAAAAAATAAATATACACACACACAAAAAAAGAGAATCTCCCAAAGTCCCTCTTTATACTGTTCTCTTAAAGGAGAACCTCCTAAATAAAAGTATCCCCTTTATAAGGGAAAAACATCTCTCCTACATACAAATTTGAAGCCTCTAATTTTACGGCAAAATTTACTGTATTGAAGAAATTATATATAATTATTAACTAAACTCTGCACAAATAATTATTAAAGGAAGTACACTCCATAAACGCTTCCTGAAAAACAAAAGTGGAAAAACAAACAGAAAATAAAGGAATGTAACGTTTTAAAATAAAGGAAGAAGAAAGGTAGGAAAAAAAAAAGGAAGAAAAAAAGCTGATAAATTTAAGTATTATTATAACCACTTTAGGGAAAAGGAAATCTATAAGTAAAGAAAAGAAAAAGAGAAAGAGAAAGAAAAGAGAAAAAATAAAAGCTGATGAATATTCTCTACATAACAAAGAAAAAATTCCCCTTAATGAAAAGGTAAGTATAATCTTTAGAAAAACATAAATCCAAGTAAATCTAACAACAAAATTTAAAACAACAAGCAAGCAATAACAGTAAATAAAAGAAGTACCTAAGTATAACTCTATCTGCCAAGCACCATGGCTCGAAAAAAGGACAACGATAAAGACAAAAATCCCACTACAACTACTATACATTCGACTAAGCAAATTAATTCTTATTACTCTCCAAAAACATCGTCTTCAGAACTTAAGAGAAGATCTTATGCTAATGAACCGATTTCTTCCAATGTAGAAATAGATCAACATACTTCTGGTACGATAGAAGAAGATTTTATAATTAAAGAACCGGTATTATCCCAACAAAATATCTCAGAAATGTTAGAAGGTCTATATAAAAAAATCAAGTTCGACTTTGAATCTAACATGCAGGATCTAAACAAGGAAGTTTCTCAGCTTACAGCAACTCTATCTACATAGGTAGATGTTCTTAATAAGATCCAATCTGATTACAATACACTTCTAAATGAAAATGAACAAGTAAATAAGAGAATTAAATATCTGGAGAATAAAGTAATATATTTGGAAGACAGAGGAAGAAGAAAAAAATTAAAAAATCTGAGGGATAAATGAAGATATTTCCTATGACCATCTTGAACTATATCTACAAGAGATTTTTGAGTCCTTGATAGCCCCCGAAAAGCTAGAAGATCATCCATTCGACAGATACCATTGAGTTATTAATTCCAAAACAACAGATAAGAAACTACCAAGGGATACCTTGGTTCTGTTTTCTAGCTATTATACAAAAAATTTAATAGCTCAATAGCCCAAGCAGCAATAAAGAAAAAATAATTTTTAGATAAATATAAATATATTAGAATATTTCAAGATATTTCCTATGCAACTAGAACAGCAAGATTAACATTTTCAGAATAGACACAAAATTTGAGATCTAATCAATAAGATATAGATGGACATTTCCAACGGCAATAACACTTTCTCACAATGGAGGTATATATTCCTTTTCAGACCCTAAAGATCTTCACAAAAAGCTTAATCTATGGAATATCGTCAACAAGAAGATTTAAGAACTTAAGAATTTGAGAAGAAGAAAATATATTGTATTGAACAAATTATATTTAGTTGTTTTTTTTATCAACATATGGCTTAAAGGTCACAATTAAGAGGTGTACATAAAGAAAAATACAACTTAATTACATACTATTAAATAATAATAGAAATAACACAAAATGATTGATAATTATTACACAAAATCTTTAAATAATTTTTTAATGAGATAAGATATATTCTACTTTTGTAGAAGAGATTAATTATATAATATACACTTTTATATGCACCAATCTGGGAAACCAGAGCTAATTAGTAGAAAGTTTTACTCACATACTAGTTTATAAAGGATATATGATGGTTACTGAATTATGAATATTAGTAACACAAAAGACAAATAAGATTTGAATTGTTAAGTCACAAATATAAAACATACAAATAGTACATCTAATTGTACTAATAAGAAATAATGAATTATTATAAGAAGAATGCACTTATTATTAATATCACTTTTGTAGAAGGGAATAACTATATATACACCTAAATTTAAATACTTCATTACTGTTAACTACATATAATTGATGGAAAGTAATATCTATATATCAGATGACAAAGGACACACTTTTATGAGTAAGGTAATATTACCATTATTAGAACTATCATTGAAAATTTAGTGAGCTTTCTATATTCTTTTTACATTTTTACTTGCCTGCTCTAATCCAGAATTTGATAAAATAACTATAATTACTAAATCTCAAATTCTATCTAACTTACCTCCCACCTAAATTCTAATTCATATTTAAAATATATAAACTCAGCACTCAAGATATTCCTGCGGCGGCAGCAGGGTATGAGTTGTGAAATGTTAAATTTAAACAACTCTATGTATGTGAGAATGATATGTAGTGTGAATGGTTTAGTTTTATATTGTTTTAGGGTTTTCTGGGGAGAGAGGGAAACAACTCAATTAAAAATGCTGAAGATTAACATTATGTAAGTTAAATTCGCTAGTCACTACATTGAACGCTAGAGGTTGTTTATATAATCTTTTAATACAAAAAAAATATCATCATGATTTAGGAGGCACATTGGATCCAAGACTATAATAAACTCTGGAAATTTAATAAGTATCCAAATGTGACCATGCAAATTTGTTAGGTTCAAAGAAGAAAAAAGGAGTTGCAATTATTATATCAGATAAGATCAAAGTTGAAGTAATACATCAAGTTTTGGATGAAAATGGATGTTATCAAAATTCCTAGTAAATCTATATAATAAAATAGAATCTATGATATGTGGCAGATTAATTATAGGAGGAGACTTCAAGTATGTCCCGTCTAGGCCCTTACGCTCTACTGAAGACTTACATATATCTTCTGTCCGTACTCCCACCTCTGACTTCTCAAAGCCTGCCCCTCTGACTTCTCAAGGGCTGCCCCATTCAAGGTGGAACTCACTTCCCTTCTCCATTAGATGCTCACCCAGTCTCCACTCCTTCAAAAAATCAGTAAAAAACTATTTCTTATAAAAGCGTATCAATTAAACTGTTAATAGCTCCCAACTGATTCCTCTCTTGCAACTGTCATTAGTCTAATACTATCCTTACCTTATGTATCACTTTACCCCACTCCCTCTAGCATGTAAGCTCATTGAGCAGGGCGCTCAACCTCTCCGTTCCTGTGTGTCCAACTTGTCTGGTTACAACTACATATTTGCTCATCCACCCACTGTCAAGCATTGCAGAATTTGTTGGTGCTATATAAATAATAACATAATAATAATAGTGTAGTTCATTCCAAGTTAGGTAAAAACCAAAGTTATAAAGTTTCAGAAAAATCTGTAAATAGATCTATTAATACTGAATTAAAAAAAAATAATAATATCTAACTCTTCATATGATTGTTGGCGTGTATTACATGACTGTGAGTATACTTTTTTTTTCTGCGGTCCATGAATCATATTCCTGCATATATTCTTTTTTAACCTCCATGAATGGTCTTAAATATTTTAAAAAAGTGGAAATAGGATCTATAATCTGGGTGGACCACGCTCCAGTATTTCTGGAGATTAGTAATAGTAACAATTATAAGACTAGAACAAGATGGAGGTTAAATGAAAATCTTTTATCATCTGAATCATTGAACAAATAAGTTAGCGCACAAAATTGGGTACAATCAAAAAATATATATAATAGAACTTGAAAACTGTGTATATATGTATATAAAGATTGTCGCGCCCGAATGCCCTAAAGGAACATGGACGCGAGTGAACCGGAAGTGACCTTACGGTAAACGCGTTCACATTCTCTACACAGGTGTATAGCTGAGATTGACCAAATAATTGTAGGAACATTCGGATTGGATAATTGAAATTTGAATGGACCAATGGAGAGTTGCAACTGATTATTTAACAGACAGAAGGAAGCAGTAAGACTGACTGAGGAAGCCCAGAAGTTTGGAAGAAACGCGTATCGGCATAAGGAGCTCATGTGGACAGTATTTGAACATTTTATACTTTTTTATACTTTCTTGTATTTTTTAGCTAATTTTATTTTAGTTTGTTGGAAATAAAGTACTTTTTTAGTCCCCTTTGACTACCTTCACTATTGCTTCTATATTAAAGAGTGTGGTGTCCCCTATATAGACACCCAGGCGATTACTCCTAGAGCCAGGCATAAAGGGCTCTATAAAAGGTGAGCAACCATTTGATTTACGTATCTATATTCATATTAGTCCTAATATACTTCACCAGAGAGTTCTCTGTATCTATATTTCTTTTTTGAGGATTACCATCTACACCACAAAAGGGTAAAGTGCCACCAGTAGGCACACAAATGTGTGTGATTTGAGCCTGTCCTATCGTAGGCTCTAATCAATGTGAGTTGAACCCATTTATTTATAATTTCTCCTAAATTATTCTCACAGTGTTGTACTATGTGACTTTTTTCCTTTTTCTCTTTTATATACCGAAAATATACCACATACATATCGTATGTAAGTAACCAACTTTGGCACTTATATCACTCGAGCGCTCCACTTCAATATATGCCCGAAGAGGGGAGTTTAACCAATCCAGGGCATATATTTTTTCACTATATAGACATATAATGTCCAGCGTCTTTTATTAAGAAGCTTTTTGCTCCTTTAATCCTCACTGAATATGCCGTCACCCATTCTAGATTTCTCCAACACTTCTAGGAAGGTTAGAGGACCATCTAAGAGGAAAGAAACTTAAGCTGGTGTGATATTATTGGGTGAGGAACCTCCACCATGTACACCCTATGTGGAGGCCTCACCTTGTAAAAGTGCACTTCTACCACACCTGTATCAAATCTCAGGTAATTTACTATACTTGGACTTAAATAGCCCCTCAGTATGTAACAATGGCAATGATAGATGTTTTTTTTCAGTCTCCAATATTGCACTTTATTAGATATCCATAAAATAAGTAAAAAACTTTTAAAATACAAATAAAAAGTCTTGCAAATCTATTGCACTGGCTCACAGTTCGTGGGTTAAATCACTGTTGAAAACGAGTTCGCCGTCCACCGATCCTCTCGCTTGTAGCTTCACCTCCTTGAATGCCAGATTTGTGTGGTCGGCACCATGTGACTTACTCGTTTCTTTGAAGCCTCTTTTTATGTTGTATATGTGTTCATACATTCGCGTCTTTAGCCATGGTTTCTATAGATGTGGATCATGTAATGCATGTTGAACTAGTGCGAAAACACACAAAAAAAGTATTGATTTTAAATCATTTCACACTGGAGAAAGATTTAAGATCAAGGATGTAATTACATGCAACACAAAAGGAATAATCTGCTTCGTTTATTGTACATATATATGTATGTATTCTTTATTCTTTATTTCAGGGTATTGCAATTGCGTCTAATCTCTATCCTCCAGTGTTAATCTTGAGATCGATTTGGTATATCTGGGGAGTGTTATCACCTTTTGCCACAAATACCCGTTTTCCTAATACTCTTCCATATCCTCCTGGAGGGTCTATATAACCACTTGCCCCACTATAGGGGTTATATTAGATATATTTATACCCCCCTAAGATCTATTTAGTGGTTTATACAGAGTGTCTATTTTTATGCAACTATTTGCAACATATTATCTAGACACTATCCACATTATAAATTGGATCTATTATGGAGAGAGGACAATTGGTCCTACTTTTTAACATTTGTTTATTATTTAGTATCACAATTTTTTGTGTGTTTATCACCTATTTAGTACACAGTTATATTTACTATATTTTTATATTTTCTGTTCCTTATGAGGGACCAATAAAGATTAGATAGTTTTACTTTTTTTGCTCTGTACTTAGGCATTTTCCATCTATTTAATTTAGAGCAATTTCTCCCTTAAGGATACTAGGTCTATATGGGTGGCTTGTTTATT